CATAGAAAATTACCAGGAGGGTATTTCAGTGAATACTGAAATAACCCACATTTATTTTTTCCCAAAGTTTTTATACCCAATACAAATGGGTGTAGGGAGGTGGAGAGAGAATGTAACAAAAAACTTTGTATACTTGATAGAAAGGACAACTCAAACAGTTAATTCCTTTAACAGTTTGAGACATCAAGTCATTAGCATTTGGTTGTTTAATCTGTGAAGCAGCCTTAGACCATGAATCCTGAAGACAGCGACTGCCCAGGTGACCTCATAGTTATAAAAGAAGGAGCAGAAGTACATTTGCATAAACTGACCACCTGTCAGGATTGAATGGACCTACTTGTATGGCCTATCTTAAAGTCAAAACAATTAAATAATCACATGCTGTGTGGGACATGCTAATATGCTTGTCAGCTACTTTGAGAAACCTACAACTCCATAACCATCAGACGAGGTGGAACCAGGCTCACATTTTTGGGCCTCCACACAGCCTGTAGAGAAAGACAGAACAAATACAGCTGCAGCCATAGCACGCACCATGTACAGCAACATGGCATGTGGTGGCAGCACACACCATGGAGGTTTTTTGAGATGGCCCAAACCATAAAATACACTACTCTCCGTGGGCATCCCGCCATTCCTCAGAGACAGGCTGGTCATGGGGGTGCATTAGGGGGCAGAGCCTGTGAGAGATCCAGGCTGCTGTTTACCGTCCTGCCAGTGCTAGGTTTTTTGAGGTCCAATCAAGAAAATAAAAAGGTCTCCATTACAGACATACTGATGTTTCTCAGAGTGAGGGTGATTGAATGTGGCGGTTGGATTAATGAGGACCAATGATAATAGGTGTTTGGACAAGTTTAATGACAAAACCAGACTCACAAAACCAAGGTTCCAGAGGAGTACCCAGAGTAGGCAGGAAGGGGCGCGCAGATGCGCGCCCAATTTATCAGTAAACATACGCCGGAGGGCAGCCCGCCCCAAGGGGAGGGCTTATCCCTACATCTCCCTCTTTTTGTCTAAATAAGACAGAACTAACCCAAATACAACTATAAACAATAATAATAAATAATAGCACCAGTCTGGGATATGCTCTTGTTGCCCAGAGACAAGGGGATCTTTCAGATAGGCAGGGCATCTGGGGACAGAATCTACTGGAGCTTCAGGTCTCTGCACATCTCTGTGCCCTCAATGAAGGCACCTTAGGTATGACCATCACACCTGCAGGCTGAGGGCAGTTGCACAGCAGTGGAGATTCCAGGTTGAGAACAAGAAAAAAAGAAAAACCCACCCTACGAGTCACCATCTTAAATCAATCTTCAAATATTTTTTAAAAGGTTCTGATAACAGAAATTACATACATGCCAAGGCACATTTACTGGAGAAAGAGCCATTCTTTCAGCCACTCTTCCCTGACTTTCTAACAGCAGGGCCTCACTCCAGCTCTGGCTTGGGTTGCAGCAGCTGTGGCATCCATGTCTGAGGCTCCTCCTTGGTGACTACAGACCTCTGGTGCAGCCTGCTGCAGGATTCCCAGGGCCATGGGGAGAGAGTACAGGAGAGACTCCACTCCTCTGTCTCCCTCTAGCCCTCTACAGGAGCCCTGTGTTTCACCCATCTTGACTCAATCCTGTCACTGTTTGTTTGTTTGTTTGTTTGTTTGTTTGTTTGTTTTGAGGGGGGGTTGAGAAAGGATTTCTGTGTGTAGCTTTGGAGCCTGTCCTGGCTCTTGTTCTTTAGACTAGGCTGGCCTCAAACTCACAGCAATCCACCTGCCTCTGCCTCCCAAGTGCTGGGATTAAAAGCATCTGCCACCACTGCCCAGCTCCTCTCTTCAATTTTAACAGTACCTGTCATTCAAAGGAAAAGCTAATGAAAAAAATTTCATTGTCTGGCCATAAATGTGGGGGTCACTAATACTGATGTGTTTGTAATTCATATGGCCAACCCATAGCAAAACACTTACTTAATTTAGAATCACCCATACTCTCTCAAGTACCCGTAAGTATAGACGTCTGTGATAATTTTCACCAATGATGTCACCACAGAATATGAATTGCTTGTTATATTTATTTAAGATAAAAAAATGCTGTAACTATAGATGATATGTTACAGATCTCTCATGATGACTTTGACACACTCTCTACACAAGCTGTGAATCTACTAAAGTATAGATTTGGGCTTGCTACAAATCCACATCCTAGGTATGTAGTCCCTGCTACTGCTGATCCCTCTGTCACTCAGGTAGGCATGGTTTCCAACTCCTCGGATGAGTGTCCTAAAACAAAATAAAAACAAAATGTCTGCAGAGTCGGCCACTGCATTTCCTCCAGCAATGATATCTCACTCTTGTCCACTGCTTGTTTATAGCACGAATCACAGAAAGGCAGAGGCCATGAGGAATCACCAACACTAGTGTTACACCTAGTGACTTTTTCATTCTCAGGGTTCCACTTGGTTATCATTCCTTTGTCACTCATCCATGTTGGACCCTGTACTGTGTGTACAAAGCATTTGACTGCTGCTCTCTGCCATGTTCACATGAACTTCATTCAGCCATGGGTAGCATTGCAAGGGGGTTTTCAATTCTATCTTGAAGAATTTCTCACATGTTCGAAAGGGGGTGAAAATGCACTTAGTTAATTCTAAAGGTCTTTAATGATGGACATTCACTGTTTCAGAGAATGGGTCTGTTCAAAATGGCTATGCTCACATCCAAACACTGTCCTGGGTGCCCTTTGATGATGAGAAGGTTCCCAAAACGCATGAAGTCTCTGCTTCAGTGACAGAAGCAGCTGTGCGCACAGCTGTTTGACAAGTCCTATCCAGCAGTTCTGCAGTGGATTCCTGGGGATTCAGAGCCCTTAGTGGACATCAGCAGTTCTGTCTGCATCCCACAAGGGCAGTTATCTACAAGGAGAGATTTCTAAGTGCTGAGAGCAGACAGCATCTTCCCCAGATGCCATCATCAGGCTAAAGATTTGGAATGAAACAACACTAGGTGACTCTGACAGATGTAAATTTGCCAAGATGTGGATACTGGGGACTCTATGTAACATACAACCAGACCCAAGGCACACCTCCAGCCCAAGGGTTTCTCCCTTTCAAGTTGAGTTCTCTTTATATTACTCAGCCTTTCAGCTTGCACAACAACTCACACAATCACAACACTTGAACACAGTAAAAGAAAAAGCTTTCTGAAAACATACAAGTTGTTATATTCAGTGTTGTCTGTCCACATCCAAGGCTGCTCTGATGACTCTCTGTGCAGTCCGATCCACGCAGCAGAATGCCCATATGTTCTATTCAGGAAATCCTGTCAAAAACACAGAAAGCAAAGACATGTGTCTCTCAGTTTCAGATGAGCCTTGAGTCTCTGTCCTACAGCCTCCTCTTGGGATGGTAGCAGGTTTGAACTGAGGGCCAGGAACTTTAGAGCCTAAATAACCCTCAGTTCTCAGTGAATGCATTTTCCTGTCATTAACCGTAGTAAGCTGACAGATACCCCTTTTTCTGGGGCTGTAAAAGTCCCTTGTTAAGTCTGTATTTACAGTTATTAACAGCTGTTAACTTAAGTTTGCAACACCCGCCGGCTCAGACAAAGACTTGTATGACCACCATGAATCTCAAACGTATGTTTGGCCTTGCACGTTGAGTATTATTAGCACTATAGGAGAGAATATCTTTGGAATGTCTCAGCGCTACAGTCAGATGTGTTACCATCACAAATGGCACATGCTAACATGTACCCCATGTGCCCAATGCCTAGGGTGGAAACCTTACTCATG